ATTTCTGATTATTTGGTCTGGAGGGGCCCTAGGGATTTGCATTGTTAATCACTGAGTGATTCTGATTCAGATGGTTCTTGGACCACACTTCCAAAAACCAAGCCAACACAATACAACACAACACACTGTTTACTGTTTATATTTTTTAAAAAATTGATACTTTAGCGGCAATCCAAAAATGTGGCTCCTGCATCCACTTGCTAAAAGATACCCAGAGGAATTCACAGGTGAACTGTCTCATATGGGTTCTGACTTGGTGTAAGATAAAAGAAGCAATTCCACAAACACAAAAACCCGATCACTCTGTTGTTCTAATTCTCAAAGAGCAAGTCAAAAAGATCCATTAGCACTCAAGTCAATAAGCACATCCTCAAAAAAAAAAAATGTAAGCAAATCCTCATGAAAGAGTGAATCCCAAACCTGAGCTCATTGGAAGCGTGGTCTTGGAGATGTTGCCCTCTCACTATACTTGGGGCAGGGGGCAGGCATGGAGAATCAGGAAGTGTGGGGACTCAGAGACCATACAAAGCCCTGTGCTGGGCTCAGAGTCTGTTCCTGTCAAGGAGCCAGGTGGGCCCTGAAGTGGGGAAGCTGGCCCTTGGGGGCAGTGGCTGCCCAGGACGGGTGATGAGGGAGACCACCCTGTGTGAGGCCCTGGCCTACCCTCCTGACCCTCTCCGCAAGGCTGTGTCCTGAGCTCTCTGACTTGGTCTACATCAGGGTTGCCAGAAACCAGCAGAGCATGGATGTTTCTCAAGGAGCTTAAATAAAAAACGATCCACAGACAAGCAGAAAAGGATTCCACAGGTCTGTAGAGGGCCTGGAATACAGCTTAAGTACCAGACCCAGAGCTCAAGAAGTACATGTAACTGCATGCCACCTCTGACCCAGGTATGGGGACAACTACCACTCGACAAATCATGCTGTCTGAGGGTCCTCCTAGAAAATTCTCCCTGCAGCCTCCCTGTAGCCCACCTGACGTAGGGACCACTCCACATCTATGGGCCCCATGGCAACCTTCGTATGTCCCAGGGAGCTTTGAAACCACGCATGCCTGGGTCTGCCCTAGAGATCTGATGGGGCCAGGCTGTGGCTTGGGCACGGGATATTTCCATGTCCCACTGGCATGAGTGCCTACCTCCCTGCCCTGTGACGCTCCTTGCCATGGCTGCTCAGGCCACATTCATGGGACAGTCCCTCTTTCCAACATTATGGTGGATCCTTGTGACTCAGACTGACCCCTCAAGAAACAGATGCTGGCAAAAGGAGTGAGCGCTCCTTCCTGTCCCTGTCACACTCCTGGCCCGATCAGGCAGTTTGCAGATGGCTGGAGTCTCACTTCTCCACCCAAACCTGCCCATTTCCCCCTCTTCCTCCTTCCTGTTCTAGTACCACCTGGCCCGCGGGTACTTGCTCTTTTGCCCGTCATTGTGTTCTGCTTTTCTCCACCTCCTTGACCTCTCATCTCGAGTGCCTACCTGCTCAGGGCCTCTATGGGGCTACTCTCCTATTTGTACCATCTCCCCACTTGCCTGGCCACTTGCAGCAGCAGCTGCTGCTGTCACCCCGACTCCTCCCCTCTTATAGCCCCACCCTGGGCAGCCCTTCATCCCATACCTGCTCACAGGGCTGAACACGGCTGCATCCCACCTGCGGCCACACCCCTCCACCAGGCCTGAGCTGCCCATCTGAGGACAGTGTGGCTGGGCTGTGGACCGCCTCAGTGCCTTCCGTTTCCTCTCTTGGGCCAAGGTGCTCAGTTGATAGTCTTCCGGGGCCAATGCCAAACCTTGCTTGTCTGCTTAGCCTACTGAGCCGGATGTTTCTGGTTAGTGGTTTCATTTTTCTTTATTTAGTCTCTGCTAGGGTGCAGGGACGGCTCTCAACAACATTGAGAAAGAGATAAGACTGTTTTTCAGGATCTCTGTGGTGTGCCTGTTCCTTCTGCCTCCAGGTGCCCAGCGCTTCCCACTGTACTTCATGTTGGGCCTTCTGCCCTTTACTCAAAACCCACCTGCAGACTGAGGATGGGGGCTTAGGGCTTAATAGCCTCTAGGAGTGACCAATTGGAGACCAGTTGGGGCCCAGAGAACAGACACTATGGTTGTTTTTAATCCTGTCTGCACATTAGAACATACCCCAAGAGTTTAAAAAACATCCTTGTTCCCTGGCCCACTGCTGAGTTGGTCTGGGATAGGCTCCATGTGTCAATTCTAAGCTACCAGGGCTGAGAGTCGATGCAATGATCTTGAAGTCTGGACCATGATCCAGCAATATTTGTATAATCTAAGAGTTTGTGGGAGGTTCAGATTCCTGGCTCCATCCAGATCTTCCAATTCCAAATCTTTGGGACTGAGATCCAGGGATCCATGTTTTAACAATATTTGCAGATGGTTCTTATATGCATGAGAATTTGCAACCAGGGCATTGTAATGTTCAGTGAAAGGAAAAGGGTGATTGGGGACAGTATCTTATTTCTAAGTTTACACTAATGTTTCTCAAAGTGTGACCCCTAAGCCCACAGCATTGGCACCACTTGAGAAGGTTTAGAAATACAAATGCCCAGACCCTGCCCTAGACCTAATGCATCAAATTCTGGAATGGGGCCCAGTAATTTGTGCTAAATAAGCTCTTGAGGTGATTTCGATACTTGCAGGAGTTTGAGAACTACTGATCTACCATCTACTGGTCTCACCTGAGGCCATCATATGACTTGGGGCTCCACAGTGTAGACACACCATAAGGAAAGGATGGTTGCGGAAGATGGCATGCCTGGGCTTGAAGTTATTGCCCATATAATGATGAGAAGTTTAGGGTTAAGTTGTGTGGACCATTCTGAAGCATTCTTTCCCTGAACACCATTACCAAA